TGTGTTGCACACACAGCGCCGCCTGTGTTGCACACACAGCGCCTGTGTTACACACACAGCGCTGCCTGTGTTGCACACACAGCGCCGCCTGTGTTACACAACAATTCAATAACTGTAATTAACTGTATAATTCAGTCATTCATCGAGAATACATCATTCAGTAATCAGATGCTGCAAACTATCGCATGTATAATTAATGTGTGATGTGTGGGTAGAAAATCTTTTCCTCTGCCATATAAATTGTACTTTTTTTATGATTTATTGATAAATGAACAGTAAAATGGCCCATTGAATGAAGTTTATTGATAAATGAAGGGTAAAAATGTCCTCTGAAATTAAGTTTATTGATAAATGAAGGGTAAAATGGCCCATTGAATTAAGTTTATTGATAAATCATGGGTAAAATGGCCCCTAACACTAAGTTTATTTATAAATGAAACGTAAAAATGTCCTCTGAAATTAAGTTTATTAAAATTAAGTTATATTACATTATATTATCTGTTAAAGGGCAAAATATTGCCTATAATCAATGTTTTTTATCGCACGTCGGCAGGCGTTTCTCAGAAGCTCTACCAGCCTTGCACCGCTTGATATATCAGGTACACAACATGTACAGTCATCACGTGAATAGAAACAGATAATGGATTTAAAACAAATACCCGAGTAAAATACGCCCATGCAAAAAAACCTCACGCAACCCTCCCTCCCGTCGTGCGGCGCACGCCGTCTGTCACGTAGGCCACCGCGACCCTGAATATATGGCGCAAAAAACAGCGGGGAAAAGGCTAGCTGGCAACCCGGGCAGCGGGGCTGCCGGTGACCCTGAGACACAAAAACCGCGCCGGCGGGTAACATTTGTTCATGAATTGATTTATTTAAACATTTATTTACGCTATAATTTTATTGAAATTAAGTCCTGACTTAATTTAGATTCACGTTAAACATGAAATTAAGTCTAGACTTGAAAAGATTTATTAATGAATTGATTTATTTTAACATTTACTAACGCTTTAATGTGATTGAAATTAAGTCCTGACTAAAGTTAAATATACATTAAAATAAAAATTTAGTAAGGATTTGAAAACATTTATAAAGGAATTGATTCATAACACTTGTTAATGAATTGATTCACTTACACATTTATTTACACTTAAGTATTTAAGTCCTGACTTCATTTCAATTCACATTAAAATCAAAATTAATCCTGAATTTTTTAGATGTTGCCCAAGATGTAATTTTGAAGTTGACTTGTATTAAAATAATAGTAAACAAGCAAACAATCATCTGCCAGGTGATAGTGTTTCTAAATAATAGCAGCAGATTACAATTAAAAAAAATTGATTAAAAATTGAAACAAGTAGACTTCGAATTGTTTGGCGAAATTCAAAATTGGAGTAGTAATTGAGTAAGCTCTTTCTACATATTTTCCGTTATATTTGTATATACTGCTATCGATATAATTATATACTGCTATATTATTACCATGTGCTATATTATTTGACGATGCTATAATATTTCGACAGTATAAACGATAAATTCTAATTTTCAAACTAAGGAGGCACGTATATAATATAATAAAAGACCAAACAATCAGAGATAACTTAACAAAATGTTATTGTAGAAATATTTAGTGAAAAAAATAGTCAACCAACACGGTCAGTAATACGGCCCCTCACCAGCATGCAGGTTGAGCCCTCACCAGCATGCAGGTTGAGCCCTCACCAGCATGCAGGTTGAGCCCTCACCAGCATGCAGGTTGGGCCCTCACCAGCATGCAGGTTGGGCCCTCACCAGCATGCAGGTTGGGCCCTCACCAGCATGCAGGTTGGGCCCTCACCAGCATGCAGGTTGGGCCCTCACCAGCATGCAGGTTGAGCGCTTGCGTCCTTCACTGCTCATCACCCAGCCCGTGGTATATAAGGCGGGCGTCGCCGCGGCAGCTCACTCGTGGTCAGGCAGCGGCAGCGTGAGGTGGGTGGTCGCGCTCAGTGCTTGAACTAGCATAAGGTTGACCCATGAGAAGTGGATGTAGTTTTTTTTTGTTGTTGTAATTTTTGCGGATGTAGTCTATTGTTCGCATGTGACGTCACTGATCTCAGTGACGTCACGGGCATTAACCAATCACCGAAATGCGATCAAACCAGTCAACCAATCCGTCATGGGGATGACGGGTTTGTTGACGTTTCTCGATCTACGTGACGTAACGGGAAAGCTGAACTGAAAGACGGAACTTCTCGTAGGTCAACCTTATATAGTTCAACCATGGGTGGTCGCGCACAGTGGAGGCTCACTATACGTAACATAATCAGCGTGTCCTTGTGTGAATTGAACACGTACACGCGCATGGTTATGTAATATAATAATAGAATATATAATAATATTATATTATATAATATAATAGAGCAGTATCAGCTTTGATTACGCCATTTTGGTCGGTCGTAGATTGGCCACCTTACCGATTTCGACCAGAATTTTTACCACTAACTGCGGGTTTCGAAACCCCACTTCGCGGCTCGAATCTTGGTGAACTCAACCACTCGGTCACGCCGTGCTTCATATGAGAATGTATAGACACAAATTATTATGCAAATTATAACAGGGACCTGAAAAAATATTATGGACTCAATAATAATAATAATGATAATAATATGCGTTAGAAACGACCTTTTGGAGACAACACTTCTAAAGAATCCAGTGTCTTTGATGTTACACATGTACAATGAATTTCTTATTTTATTTTCAAATATTAAAAATAATTAATTTTCACATTTTTTTATATATAAAAATTTTGTAAATTTTCAGAATTATTTATTCTGTCAACTGATTCATGCATTGTCTCCAACTTTACGCAAGTGTGCGAAATTTTAGATAGATTGGGCAGGTAGAAGTGCGTTAAATATCGATTATAAGATTTGTAGCAGACAGACAGACAGACAAACAAGAAGTGAAGTTAAAGAGAAGTGTTGTAATAAATAGACTTAGATTTCAAATAATGATTAACCCCACCTGTTAGAGCATGGAAATGTGGATCCGGGCTACTAACTCAAACTTTCATGCGTCACTGTTTTATTCGTTCTATTTTAGTACAAAAGAAACAATATGGCAATTTTCATCGCATCAATCAATATCTTTAATTTCCCCGCAGATAAATATCAAGAAAATGTTTCCCCGAGCCTCAGTATTGATCAATCAATTTCTTTAATTTTCCCGCAGATAAATATCAAGAAAATGTTTCCCCGAGCCTCAGTATTGATCAATCAATTTCTTTAATTTCCCCGCAGATAAATATCAAGAAAATGTTTCCCCGGGCCTCAGTATTGATCAATCAATTTCTTTAATTTTCCCGCAGATAAATATCAAGAAAATGTTTCCCCGAGCCTCAGTATTGGCCGCGCTGCTGGCCTGTGTGGTGGTCGTTGTCGCTGCGTCCAACCCTCGCCTCCGAGGCTTGGAAGAAATAGAAGAAGCTGAACTGGATGCCATCTTAAACGACGAGTTGGAGTTGAAATTCTACACAGACTGCGTGTTGGACAAAGGAAGCTGTGACAGGAGCGGCCGAGCTATCAAAGGTAATTTCAATGCCTTTATACGATGGTAAATGTGCAGCGATGCAGTTCAATTACTGAACCTAGATCAACATAAAACTTCATGTTACTTTTGACTACCGCATCTGTTGAAATGTAGAAACAATTGGTAAACATAACAGCATACATTGTAAAGCATCAGCATTGTAAATAAAGGTACCAAGATATCAACTAATATATTTAATAACGCGAGTTGGGAGATGTATGGATGCCGTTGTCTTTAGCTCTGATGTGCGACATTCGCTAATTTTTTCGAAGCGTCAAAGCGGGAGGCGTGGTGGGTACTTTCTTAATAAAAATACTCGGGAATAATTCGGTAATATTAGCTGAGAAGAGATAAATTGTGGTTAATATTAACTTTCGCGTAAACATACATAAGAGGCTTCATCATAGGCATGAAGAAATTTATTTTGGACTGATTAATTTAGTCCTGGCACGCTAAACATTATCCGATGCAAAATAAAACAAAATATTTCTTTAGGAATAGGAACTACTTAGCAATAACGTGGAAATCTGAAGGAAATGGTGTTAAGCCACAGTACCCTCCAAATGTTGATGTTGCCTTTAACTGTTTGTATTTATCTTTATTTTATAAAATACAACATCAGTTTCAACTATATGTATTTATCTTTATTTTATAAAATACATTAGTTTATTCATACAAACTCTTGTGTCGCAGAGACGCTCGCGGACATGCGGTTCACGAAGGATATCTGCAAGAACTGCAGCGAACTCCAGCGCCGCCGCGCCATCAAGATCCTTAAGACTCTGCAGAGCAAACCTGTCTACGACGAGATCCTACGCTACTACAAACTCATCCTCTGATCCTGCACCAGATCCTGCGCTACTACAAACTCATCCTCTGATCCTGCACCAGATCCTGCGCTGCTACAAACTCATCCTCTGATCCTGCACCAGATCCTGCAGCTCCACCTCCTCTTCTTGTCGTGTCTTTTTTTCGCGCCTTCACAAATATATGTGTGATTTTTAGGTAATTTGTAAATAAATGAGAAATTATTAGTAAATAATAACTTCGATTTAACGTTGATTTACTCGATCACTACCCCAGACCCCGGGCAGGAAAAGAGGTTATTGATTGCGAAGCGTCGTGTTGCGTCTCATACATTTGGGGTCCCCAGACGCTTTAAAACAAGCATTTCTTTAATGAATGGACTTTTTATTTTATGAAGGGGGGCTGCGCACACGTAACTAAATAGAATTTAATATACTCGGAATTACAGTGAATACTAGGAATCACAATTCTATGAATCTGAGTGAAAGAAATATTTAAAAAAAATAATACTAGTAATAAGAACAATACTAGGAATAAGAATACCAGGTATCAAAATACTTGGAATCCAAGAGGAAGAAAGATGTAAAAAATAATGGAGCTATTTCAAAGGCGCTCGGTACCATTGAAAAGCTACAGGATGGCTTGGAATGAGACGCTAAATCTATGACAGTATTAAGCGCCACTGTAGCGCAGTGGTAGCAGCACCTACACAGAGGAAGCAACTCGTGGGTTCGAACCCTGGGCCCCTCGATTCGTTTATTTTTGCTCGGGAGGCAGCGAATAATAGGTGTCGAGGGCGGTGCTTCAGCATGGCTGTAAGCGGAGCAGAAAACAAAACAGCAGTACCTGTCACATGGGGTATCTTCCAGTTTATAAAGACGAGTTCCAGGAGTTAATTATTAACTTAAATAATTTACTTCAACTTAATAACGGAGCACTTAATTATGTATATAGTGATTACCATATGTTTCCTACGCCGTTGTTTCTCTGACGTGTCATGCTTCTCAGGCTCATCCAAACTGATGGAAGACTCGTGGCTACAAAGTTAGACTTACGAGATGCATACGTCACTAATATAACTATAGCAGTGGCCCAGTCTCTGCGCTATGTGACTAATAATTACGTCGCTTGCAAAGTTCAGATATCATCCATAATATAGAATAGAAGTAGAATAGCAGTGTCAGCATTGAAGAAAATATGCCCATGCCACTAGCGATGACGCAAGGTTCCGTTTACATCTTCTCATGAATAGAATAGAATAGAAGTGTCGGCGTTGAAGAAATAGGCCCATGGCCTGTTGCCGATTCTTGAACTTTTCGTGACTTGATTCATATATAAGTTTTTTATTTTTACAATGAATACGAGACATTTCATCCTTTACCAATTTAACCTAACGTAACCTAGATGTAGTTATACTTTAGAGTGAACTACTGTAATAATAATTGCTGTTATGGTGATGAAATTTCCCATATGATGATGAAATGTCGCAATGATGAATTGCTATATGCTGAAATGTCTCGCATGATGATGATTTGTCCGGCAACAGCATGACTAACGTTGGCTCCACCAGATTGACTGGAGGCTCCGCACCATATTTTAGCTCGCAAGGTCGCTACTTCAGAGACTGGCGCTGTATATACACTTATTACAACACGAAACCAACATGCTCTAAAATTTGAGGTATTGTCTGACCGGCATTCACTCAAATTCTTAAGGAATTACGCCAATTACTCATGGCTTATACAAGGTCCCAGAAGGATTACTAGAATTTGAAACAAGAACCAACACCAGGGGCCACGGCTATAAACTAAAAAAACTGCGTTGTAACACATCCATGCGACAACAATTCTTCTCGTTTCGAGTCACCGATATGTGGAACAGCCTCCCTGATAGCATCGTTGGCGCTCCGAGTATGAACATCTTCAAAAACAGACTAGACGAAGCTATGCAGGAGCATATGTTCAGTCTTAAAATGCCTAGCAAATTACGGACCAGGCAATAAGTCCAGCAGCTATCTCAATCAATCGTCAGCTATGGAAAGATCGGGTTCCAAAGGCCGGACCCCTTGAAGTCACGAAAAATTCAAGAATCGGCAACAGGCCATGGGCCTAATTCTTCAATGCCGACACTTCTATTCTATTCTATTCTAATTCTTTGGGAACGACGCGTAGATACTTTGCGGATGCTCCTTATACATTAGATACAAACTTCTGTAACTACTGTATATTAACTTAACTTTACCTGCAATACTTTGCCGATTATAATAAAGGCAATGTGTGTGTATGGAAAGTGTCCGTGTTAAAATTTATGCAATGTACTAGCAGTAGCCAAATAATTAGGAACACGCTGTTTAATCCTATTCCGCCAGATATGAGTAACCTGAGCAATATTGTCATAAGCCTATTTCGTAAAAGACTATGTTGCTAGTGAGCACAAGATGACTTGCACTGATGGTTGCAGCCACGTAAGACAAATTTAAAATGTTTTCTGTTGCGTACAAACGTCCTCAGGTTGCTACACTCAATAGTTTACGTATAATTTAAGTTGAATGTTATGTTCCGAGAGAGTGGCATAGAGAGTAATGTAGATAGTTAAAGAAAGTTAGTTAGTGGGTAGAGAGTTAAATTTATATTTCATTTGAGAGAAAATACAAGCTGACAACTGTAGGCCAGGCCGCGTGCCTTTCGCAGCGTCATTTCATCAACGCCGTCGCCTGACGAACATCTCACCGTGTATCACTGATGTGAACTTAGTGCCTAATATGAGTATATTTGGGGACTCTAAATAACCTTGTTCTAACATTTCAATTAATAGCTTGACTGTGGGCAATGCGTGTAACCCAGCAGCCGTGATACGATCATGAATCGCTGAATTTAACAATTATATAAATTCAATTGTTTTTAGGAAAATGTAATTATATATCAACTGATCTCCAAAGGCGCTGTCAGGAGTGGTCATTCCTTCGCAGCTACAGGGCCGACTTCCGCCGCACCATCGCCGCCGCATTGGCGCAGGAATCCGCACCAGTCTAGGCAGTGACTGATAGCCCCACACACCTGATAGTCCCACACATCCTTCACTGCCTGATAGTCCCNCTTCACTGCCTGATAGTCCCAAACATCCTTCACTGCCTGATAGTCCCACACATCCTTCACTGCCTGATAGTCCCACACATCTCTACTGCCTGATAGTCCCAGTTCTTCTCAGGCACTTAGGGTTAAAGCAGGAGAAAGAAACGTCGGGTGAATGCAACTCTTTTATTGATGACGAAGAAAACATCTGAGACAGAAAGCAACACTGAGAAAACTATCGGGGGAGTGGAACTCTCGTAAGGGCTTGACTAGATTACAGGGAAACAAAGTAGTACAGGTGGTGGTAAAATTAATGTATTATACTACCATTACTGCGGGTCTAGCCCCCCAATTAAGGGGAGTTTACCCCCATCATCTAGCCCCCACCTGGACACTCTAATAAAGAATTTAAATGGACGATCAACAAGGAAGAGAATCTCGAATAAGTTTATTAATTTCATGCAATGCATTCATTTTTTTCTCTATTACGCACACACAAGGAACCCAAGACTTCTATTATAACCATGAAACGCCCTATAATTCAAACAGATAAAGTAACACTCATGTGTGATGTCACCTCTTCACACAGATAAAGTAAAACTCATGTGTGATGTCACCGCCTCACACAGATAAAGTAAAACTCATGTGTGATGTCACCACTTCACACAGATAAAGTAAAACTCATGTGTGATGTCACCGCCTCACACAGATAAAGTAAAACTCATGTGTGATGTCACCACTTCACACAGATAAAGTAAAACTCATGTGTGATGTCACCACCTCACACAGATAAAGTAAAACTCATGTGTGATGTCACCACTTCACTCAGATAAAGTAAAACTCATATATGATGTCAACACTTCACACAGATAAAGTAAAACTCATGTGTGATGTCACCACTTCACACAAATAAAGTAAAACTCATGTGTGGCATCACCACTTCACACAGATAAAGTGAAACTCATGTGTGGCATCACCACTTCACACAGAAAAAGTAACACACTCGTGTGTAGCATTTCACAAATAAAATTTTCAAACTGGTGTGCTGATGTTCAATCATGGAGAATCATTGGACCAAATTTTTTGTAATGGAAAGGTTTCAATTTTCTCAAATGGTATTTATATTGTTTCTAACACATTTATCACCCTATATTTAAAGGGCTCAAAATTTTGATTTCATAATACATTTAGGTTTGATGAATCATTCCGGCTTTGTCGCGGGCTTGTGTGGGCCCTTCAGTGACCGTACAATCGAAAGTCGCCCCAATATGCAGCAACCAATTTCTTGTCTGTGATTGGTTAGTTTGGTTTGATAAGCCGTCAGTGATTGGCTGACGGAGTAGGAGTTACAAAATTTTAAATGTTTATAATCGTAAGGCCTCTGAGCTCCGCAACACAATTTGTTCGAAAAGCTAACTTCAAATGTGGGCATAGGACCCTGGCATCCTCTCCAGATACGATGTGGGCATAGGACCCTGGCATCCTCTCCAGATACGATGTGGGCATAGGACCCTGGCATCCTCTCCAGATATGATGTGGGCATAGGACCCTGGCATCCTCTCCAGATACGAGGGTTCTTCATCAATGTCTCAGTGTCATCACGTGATATGAACTCAAAGTGCAGCAGATATTCCAGGTCAAGCCGGGCTCCGACATAGGTAGGGAGCAAACGACGAGCATTTATTACGTTTGCAGTAGCAAGGTGAAGCCTCCCTTGAAGGTCTTAGCCAGAGCCGTGCCCCGCAGCGTTAATGTCATCGTGTTGGTCCCGAGAGCTTGCTGCAGAGACAAAGGCGTGTTAACAGCAACACCGACCGCCTCTATTACCGCTTTTAAATTTAATAATGAGAGAATATAACCTATATTAATTACGGTTTGATGTTTATGCTAGCAGATATTATTGCATTTTGATTAGAAGGAAACTAAGCGCTAAAGTTTCTACTCATATATGATGTAGAAATATATTATCAAGATTATCGTGCATATTGAGGATTTATGAAAGGAAAACTGCACAATTATGAAACTCGCGCTGCTGATCGTGTGTGGCAGGAGGCCCAGCATTTTGACTTCAAGTGTTTAGCCGGGTGGAGGAATATTTTTAAAGTAATCTCGATAATTCGCAAATTTATCCATATAATGACCACGGCGTGATGTATCGCCATATCATATAACACGCCTATTTATTTTTATTATAACTGCAAGAGTATGTCACTAACGAATAACCAAACCAGAGTATTGGACACTGAAGCCTTTTCCTTCACTAACAAGGTAGAGGATACAGAAGTTAGCGTCTTGCGTAGTGCCGTAAGAAGCGGTAAGATTGTAGCCGTCGCAGGACCGGTCACTGCCAATAAAGTGTTTCCCGAAGAATAAAAAGCCAATATTGGAAGTTGCCGTGAAGGTGACTCTGCAGTTGTAGGTCGGGCCGTCGGGGAACGCCTTGCAGCCGTACCCGGGGTGCGAGAACACCGCTATGTACTGGGAAGCCGGGAGCGGGACGGTGTTGCCGCATTCGTTCACTAGGAATATAGAGAAGTGGAATTTTCTTGACGCGACTGAGCAGTTAGCGATGGATTAATGGTGATGAAAAATAAAGCTCCGCTTGCTGCATATGACCCAAGAGGTCAGTGGGCACACAATGTGCGCCACACTTTCCAACAGTGATCCCTAATTAAAGTTTGGCATAAATGAAGGGTCAAAGTTCTATTGCAATTATCTTAACACGTCGAGAAGTTAATTGTGGGTTAATTGGAACCTGACAAAAAATATATAATCGCAATTAACGTACCGACTTCTTTTAATGACGTATCATGAGCGCATAATGACGAAAAACTGATAAACAATGACACCGAATTGATTTTACAATGAGATGTGGTTGGATTTCAGCATTGCTATTTGTGACCCAGGCATGATGAATAAGAAAGAGTACAAGTAAATATATTTATTAATAAATACGATTTAGATAATGAAAAAATATGCCGTTCATTACTCACTAATGCAAGTGAGTCTCAACCTTCTATAAGCGAGTTACCGAAACCTCATTGAACTGCAATGAACTGCACATTTCATCAGAATCAAATGCACGTACATCAATGTTACTGCCAAATAACTTTTAAAAACTAATATAAATTAACACAATAATTATAATTCGTGGTTTTATTGCAATCTTTGCACTTTCTGTCGACTCATTTAGTTAACTCTTCAAGCATTTGTTCGAGCCTAGGAATGCAACAGATGCAAGCGTTATCTGACATGGGAATGAGCTCTAAAATAAGACAATAGCCCAGAAATTAAAGTCATCACTTCCACGGCCCCTACAGCAGGTTTCGGAACAGCAGCTTCCTCGGATATATTCATCCAAGGCAGGATAAATGTATATATTAGTATACAAGGTGGGCTAGAAGTCACTGACGCTTTTCAATTGATTAATATCTTTCTAATTTATTCAAGGCTCGGTAATTCAAACCCAATGAGCTTATCGAAGGCATTTGAAGGTGATAGGTAATAACCACAAGCAACCATAAGATTGTGCCAACAAGCCGCAATATTTAATGGAACTAAGGGGAAACATCACTAGAGAAATAAGAGAAATAAGCCCAGAAACTTTACAAAAGGTTATGGCAGAGAAAATGGAATGAGCTGTTATTTGTGAAGCAGCAAATGGAAGGCATATGCAGGACGTTATTTTTATTTTTCACACCTAACGATAATGTGCGCTCGACTTTTCTGAGAAAAGTCTACGTTCACAGACCCTCTCCGTAGATTTTCAGACGAAAGTCTACGTTTTGAACATATCAGCTCAGAGACAAAGTCCTTCAGTGGAGGTCGAATGCCTGGCCAGAGCCAAGGTTTAACCATCCACAAGTGTTGTGGGTATGCAGAAGCAAGTTTGCCGTGCCCAAGCCATGCTCCCATCATCGTCCATGGCTGGCAGTATGCGTCCAAGTCAAAATGTGCGCTCCAGAGGAGGTCAAATTCTTGGCCATAACCAAGGTTTGGACCACTCACAAGTGTTGTGGGCATTCAAAATCAAGTTTTCCGTGCCCAAGCCATGCTCCCATCATCGTCCATGGCTGGCAGTCTCGACTTTTCTTAGAAAAGTCTACGTTCACAGACCCTCTCCGTAGACTTTCTGACAGCAGGCTATCTGACGAAAGTCTACGGTTTGAACATATCAGCTCAGAGACAAATTCCTTCAGTGGAGGTCGAATGCCTGGCCAGAGCCAAGATTTGACCATCCACAAGCGTTGTGGGCATGCAGAAGCCAGTTTGCAATGCCCAAGCCATGCTCCCATCACCGTCCATGGCTGCCAGTATGCCTTCGAATCTCAATGTGCGCTCGACTTTTCTGAGAAAAGTCTACGTTCACAGACCATCTCCGTAGACATAGCCCTTCGACGGATGGCACGACACCGTCGGCGGGCTATAACTTGCATGATACCTCTTGCTACAAGCTATAGCTTGCACTAGACGCCATTGCCAAGGTCACCATAGAGCTGGACAACCGCTGCACTCGTCAACGATCGTCCGCCAGGCTGTCTCAGACAGCCGCAGCCACCGGGACACTGCTGGTGTCCCGGTCTAGAGCTTGATACCTCTTTTGAACACAGCGAGAGTCCTCGCAGGTTAGGTCCAAGTCAGGTCTAGTTCATCTACCTTCAGAGCACACAGTAAAGGAACACTACCTGACTGGACCTAACCCTGAGGCCCCTCGCTCCCCCCTGGGGCAACCAAGGATCTCACAGTCTCCTTGGCTGCGATGGGGAGGCACACAGCTGTGTGCGGTTAAAGCCAGACACTTCACGTCTTGCGTTAGTTTTGATTTACCTTGATGAGCCATTGCTTGGGAGGTACTACACAGGTTACCAGCACCCTGTTGTACCTTCAGAATCCGTTATCACAGCCATAGGCACCCTAAGACGCCCACAGTGACAGTCACACGCACGAGAACCGAGTCAAAATTGCGTGAAAATAATTACCGGACTCGATTTTGTCCGGTTTTGTACCTCGTGTCCGGTAATGTTACCAATTTTGTCCGGTAATTGTTGGAACTATGAATATATATATATATATATATGTATTGTATACATGCTTTGGGAGAATTAGTAGTGCGTTAGTCTTTCTAACATGAAATTTTTTCGCTCTGACATATTAAATTAAGCTATCCCAACATCTGTTTATTTTTATTTAATAATTTATCTTGGACTACATTTGAATTCGTTTTAATCAATGCCTAAGAGGAAAGAAGCTGCAAGCAAAGTCTTCTCAATTTCATGCATTGCATATGAATATCTTACACACTGGTATTATATAAAGCCATCAGTATCACATGACGTTAATTCCCACATTTAAAACATTTTGGAAATCCTAACTCAACTGCAAAAGTTTACACTCGGAATATAATATATCTTATAGGAGGTCTTGTGTATATTGATAAAAATATAGTTTAAGAGACCTTGAAAGAATCTCGTTCGGTAACCGCAGATTGTTGTTTTCTGCTCAGGGAACGACAGATTGTAGAGTTTATTACAAGCGCGTTTTTCAAGGAAGACTGCAAGTTGGTGGTAGATATGCCATGTGTTATGCCCCATTAACCAAAGGTTGAAGAAACTTTTATTATATATATGTTATCAACAAAATATAGGCTGGCCAAAAGTCAAACGATTCAAGTGAATAAGAACCTGACGTACGGAAAATTTAAGGTTTAATGCCATTACTAAAATCTAGGACGCAAAGAAGGTGTAAACAAAGGAAGTTACAAAAGAAAAAAAACATTGTGATTGTATAAATGTATACCTATTGATTTCTCGGCAGTGTTGTATACAAACAAATCTGTGAGAGAAAATTCCATTTACCTCAAACTTTTACTCAAGTCACTTATTTATACAAAACGGTCAACTATTACCAGATGTTATAGAAATACTCCTGATATCACTGCACCGTTATTTTAATTAATTCATAATCATTTAACTTGTCTCGGTCAACTTACGGAGTTCAACTTCTTCGTACTATCAACCGAGTTCTAGGATCATTTGTTCGGAAATTAAAATCTGTGGATTCAAATTTATTTCCGTGAGCAGCGTCCGTATACTGAAAACAATGATAACGTCACAAGAAAAATAAAATTTCACGAAGAAATCATCAGTAAGAAATTTCGTACGATCATTCTCAAAAATAGTTATAACAAATGAAAATGGTATGTTCCAACAAGTAACAGTAGCTTAGCAACTAGCCAAGGAGAATTGCCCATACATATAGTGATGAAAAATTCTAACATGTTCGAATTATCTTAGCTGAGATATAACTGTGTTGAATTCTAAGTGAAAGGTCAGTCAAAATCTAAGTTTTACGATTCAAACTTGGTGCAAGGTTCAGTTGGGGCAGCGTTACATGAATTAAATTATCTATCGACGTGGAAAAGTGCCGACAAGCAAATCTGGCATCAGTAAATGCCGAAATACGAATGAGCTTCGGAAGAGCATTAAACTATACAAGAAAGGGTTATAGGTGTCATCCGTATGTTTCAACACCAGGAGCTACACATCGAAAAACCCTCGTCGTTTTCCAACGAGACATAACTGTCATCAGCTAATGCGATTTATCTCACGTGAACAGTTGAGATGAATTAAAAGTCAGACACGTTAAGCTAGCAACCGCGAGGAAGTATGAAATAACTCCTATGCTAAAGGCCAAACGTTCATGTTATAATCACAAACTTAAACTATTTGATAGGATCTATAACTAATAGCGGATTTCACAGTTAAATCCGGAAATCATTATCATATTTGAGCTCAGTACGTATAAATGAATTATCCTATGGAAAATTGAACATGCTTGGCGCAACCTTCTCATCAAATGGTTAGATGACTACTGCGGTTACAATGATCAATCATCAATCCTGCAGTGCTAAAAAAGAACGATCTAGTGGAGCAAAAAAACCTGACAGGGTGGCAACTGTTGAAAAGACGAGGAAATTTGAGCTAAAAAGTTTCTAACTTAGTGAGCTGGTATCGAGTGTTTCTTGTTATTAAAAGGCTTTCCAGAGACTGACTAGCTAAGAATGCATGAGGGTTAGTTAATAACCAAATCAACCCTGAAGTCTAACTTGCCCAACTGTGAAGAAAAATAAAATCGTTTTCACGAATTACTTTCTAGTCTTCAACAAAACTTGTTTTAAGGACAATTTCTGCTTAACTAACGACACTTATATGAAATTTCATCTGCACCTAGAATCTTAATCGGCATGAGACATTTAATCGCTAAATGAGACTTATCAATATAGGAAGTTTATCTTTATTCGAGATTTCATCACGCCAAGAGATCTCGTCTGACATATATGACGTCACTGGGCGTGCCGTAGCCGTCTGCCAATTCATCGTAGTCGACGTAGCCTGTCGTCGCCATATAGGCGTTGACGGCCGCCTTTCCTTCCTTTACGTGTTTGTGCTCCACTGAGATCACCTGTAAATTAGGTAACAAAGGTGAGTAATATTATTAATAACAGCAGTGTCAGCGTTGAATAGGCCATCGGACCTGCCGCTTGATTCTCAATATCGCAGAATTTTCACAGCGTATTGGGGGTCTCAAACACGCAAATCGCTGCTCAAATTTTGCTGTGCTTAACCGCCCTGGCTCCTTCGCCGATTTTGACCAGAAATGTCGCAGGTACCTTGGATCAAACCCACAAATCACTGCTCCAATCGTGGTACTCTGAACTGCAAGAACTGGGCTACCCTGCCACCGCAGGATATTGTTTGTTGCAAACTCCCTCGTCACCTTGATGATTTGCTGGATAAATCTTATTGGTACTTCGCAAAAGATTGTAAGGCTGATGTGAACACTATAGGTTCTACTAAATGCTGAAGTCCGGAGGTATTCAAAATTCATGTTGTGAACGTCATAAACGCTATTTTGTTGCCAACATATCTGAGGTACGTGAGCAAGCAAGCTTCTGGAGGAACGTCACAAAAATAACTATGTTGATCGTTACTGATTATCTATTTGTATTCTTTCATAGACCACATAGCAGTTATTCGCCACGCGAAATTTGAACTATTAGTGGTTACATGGAATTTGGATGATTGATATGCTGTTAATGATGTACCATAGTCACCATTGTTTACGCTCGGTGCCACGGGATCGTCTTGACCATCACAAAATCTAATTTATATCGTAATCAGCGATAACTATATTCCTGTTTCTTGTCCGGAATAGCGTCATCACTCACTTTGATATCGACTCGGTGCCACGGTATCGTCTTGAGCACATTGAATTCCTGCCCCTCAACATCGAGGCTGAAGTAATCGACGGTGGTGATGTTGGCGGCCAGTAAGAAAGAGTAGAAGGGGAAGCATTGCACTATATTATAGCTCACGTCCCCAGTTCCGCCAGTTTCACGATCGTAACTTATGTTTTTGACGTCCAGGATTTCGCTCAGGGCCCTATCTTGTCGTAGGACGAACTGTGGAACAGAAGAAGAATTACAGAATTTTTTGCGAGGTTACACAGTAACGTTTGTGCTCGTGAAGTTTATTTCCTACACGTGTTATTCATGCGTCATATATTGTATACGTTAATGAAAACTGATGCCTGTAACTCGGGAATCCAACTCAGAGCAAGTCGGAAATCTATGAATTCTGACCTCACTTGGATGTGGTTTACTTGAGAGACATGAGTTAGCAATTAAGGCCTTGCGATGCCGATTCTTCAAATCCTCGAAGTTGCTAGGCTCGGGCTCTATCAGCAAGCCCGTCCAGGCTCGGAAGCGTTCCAGGAATAACGTATTTGAGAGATACTGGCCGTCGAAAGCGCCGCACTCTACGAACAACCCGTGCGTCTGTAACGGTGAGACAATTTGTGTAGAGTGGCATGAGAGGATTTACCTAGTGAGGATTCAGAGTGCAAGCTGAACTCTAGCTTTGCCCAACTTCACACTTTAGTTCATACTCTTTTCCGAGTGTAAATCAAAGCAGTGTTTGAAGCCATAGTCTAAAGTTATATGTCCACTGCGATCGCTCAAGCATGCTCAGGTTAAGCATGGTCATTGTAAATAATTTTACTTAATATACATCTCCCGTGTACATAACATAACATAACATAGTGATCTCGGCGCTGCAGCGTAGGCCTGATGTGGCCGGTCGCCGATTCATTTCCTTTTCGTGCCTTGTTGACAGAAGATCTAATATTGTTTCATTTGACCGGATATTTTCATGACTGACGATAGTTTCAAGTAGCTACTAGACTTCCACCGGGTTCGATATGGTGCTGGGCATTTCAAATCTGAACATATATTATTCCATAGCTTTATCTAGTCTGTTCTTGAACGCGTTCATACTTGGAGCGCCAACGATGTCATTGGGGAGGCTGTTCCACATGTCGGTGATTCGAAGCGAGGAGAAATTTTGTCGCATGGAGAAGTTGCAGCGCAGTTTTTTAGTTTATAGCCGTGGCCCCTGGTGTTGGTTCTTGTTCCAAATTCTAGTAATCCTTCGAAGACCTTGTATAAACCATTAGTATACTTGTATACTTCAATGAGGTCCCCACGCAGACGTCGATAACTGAGGCTAGGAAGCTTCATAATCTTCAATCTTTCTTCATAGGACCTGCCCTTCAAGCCTGGAATTATCCTTGTTGCACGTCTTTGAACATACTCTAGTAAATTTCTGTCCTTTTCAAATCTCGGTGACCACACAACGTTTCCAAACTCTAGATTTAGGCGCACGACAGCAACAAACAACTGCTTCATCGCTTCTCCATCTAGGAACTCGTATGAGCGTCTGATTGGTCCAAGAAGTTTGTTGGATGTGTTAGCTTGCGTTTCAACATGCTTAGAAAATTTCAGCTCCTTGTCGACATAAACTCCGAGATCTTTTTCCACACTAGACTTTTCAATCATTACTCGCTCGTTGCAACCATGTCTTCTCATACTGTAATCTTGCTGTTCATTGTTCTTCCCGAGGTGAAGTACACTTGTCAGCATTAACCGCAGCTGCCACGTATCAGCCCAGTTAACTAAACTGTCAAGATAACCTTGCAACTGAACTTTTTGCGACGTATTATTCACTGTATTATAAATTTTTGTGTCGTCAGCATACATCGAGCAAACGCTAGACACAGCTTCTGGCAAATCGTTTATAAAAGCAACGATAAAAATAGGCCCAAGAACGCTTCCTTGTGGCACGCCACTGCGCACTGATACCCAGTCTGAGACGGTTCCGTTAATACTGACACGTTGTCGTCTACCTACTAGAAAATCTTTGATCTATTGGAGTACGTTTCCCTCAATTCCCAAAGACTTCACTTTACGCACGAGCCGCTCATGCGGAACACTGTCAAATGCCTTGGCAAAATCGAGGTACAATGCATCCACTGGCTCCCTTTCGTCCAGCAGGCGAGTCCAATCGTTCAACGTAGATAATAAGTTAGTGGTGCAGGATCTACCGGCGATAAAACCATGTTGACAATCTGATATGAGATGGTGAGTAGTCAAGTGATCGATTATCCTATACCTCACAACAGATTCCATTAGCTTACAAACAACACTTGTCAGACTGACAGGGCGATCGTTGCCGGGGCTGCTTTTGTCATCTTTTTTGAACAATGGTGTTACTTGAGCTTCTTTCCAGTCGGACGGCAAAGTTCCTTCGTTTAAGGCTTTTTGTAAGAATACTGTCAATGGGCCGGCCATAACGGTTGCTAATTCTTTGAGCAATCTGGGATGGAGGCCGTCTGGTCCACATGACTTGTTGGGATTTAGAGTTACCAGGCGCTTGAGAACCTCTTCTTCGTGTATTTCAAAATATATTAACTTCGAGCCGACTGGGCGCTCCTCAATATCTGGAATACTGTTCAAGTCCTCATCTGTGAACACACTGCTGAAGAACTGATTAAGAACGTTAGCCTTGCCCTCATCAGAGGAGATCTTTCGTTGGTCTGCTTTCAAATCAGATATACCGTCCTTAGACTTACACTTCGAACTAGCGTACAAAAAGAAGGCTTTCGGATTCTTTTTCGCATTTTTAGCAATATTTTTTTTTCGAAGTTTTTCACTGCAGTGCGACAAACTTTTTTAGCTTGATTTCGAGCTCTGGCATACAGGTTATAATCAGACTCGCTGCGAGTTCGTAAATAACGCTTATAGGCTTCTTTCTTGGTCTTTAGCTGAGTCTTAACTGCACTGTTCTTCCACTGGGACTTTTTGACTCCTCCAAGCGTAATCTTGGGTACACAGGCATCAACTGCAGACATAACCGTGTCTTTGAGAAACGACCATGAATCAGCCACGCTCATGTCCTTAATACAGTCCGAAATATTTGCCGCATTCACCGTTTCACGGAGTTTATCATAGTCGCCCTTCGCAAAGTTCAAACGTTCACGCCTCCGAAGCGTCTTTTCTGCACAGCACTTAATATTGAAAAACAATGTCTGGTGGTGGCTTTTGCCCAAGGGAGCCTCGTGGCGAAGCTCCTCTATCATTGATTCTTCACTAGTAAACACAAGATCTAGAATATTTGGGGTCTGTTTACCCCTAAAATGGGTTGGCTTAGTGATGTTCTGGATTAAAAACGAGTCTCGCACAGACTCCAAGAACAAGGATGCTGGGTGATTCTCATCTCTTGGAGAAGATTCATCTGCCCAATCTATTTCTGGATGGCTAAAGTCACCAACGATCAACGTATGCGACCTGCTGAATGACATGCTCGGTAAAAGGCTGTTTAGTACTTTATTGTTATCAGAGGAGCTGTTAAGGAGCTGTGTCTGTAAATGACCCCTATGAGGAGGCTATCTTTGCCTTTTAGAGTAAGTTCGCACCACACTGATTCTCTAGCTTATTGATGCTCTGCAGATAACTTAACTTGCTGGGCCCCATAAGTGGTTCTAACCCACAGAGCTACACCTTTACTGCACTGCTCTTCATTTAAGTTATGAAAACAATCATAATCTGGCAGCTGAAATGCAACAAGTACAATTTCCCCCCCGTGATTTTTAGGGAGTGTTTCTGTAATACAAATAATGTCTATACACTCGTTTGCGATCACAGTTAACAGTTCACTTTTTTGTTCAAGCGGAATGCGAGTTCGTGTAAAAACATTTTAAAACTTTTTGTGCACTTTCACTTCGATGTATGCGGTTCCTTCCTACATTATTTACAGGCCTTGATCTACGGACATCATTCCTACTAATTACTTGTCCTCCATCTGCTCTGACTGTCCGTGAGCAGCCGGTGTTGTCTTGGCAGCTTGGAAGTGATTGACCTGATTTTCCGTGCCTTTCCGCCTGATTCTCTCCAGCCACTTCTTGCGAAAAACCGCCCTCTCTAAGGGGGTGGAATCTTTCTTTACAAAAACTGACTTGTAATCAGCAGATTCTCCAAGCTTTCTCGCTGTTTTCAGCACGCTCCAGACCTGAGCAGAATCCTTTACAGTCACCAGCAGAGGTCTGAAGGTGTTACCAACAGCATCCTTCGAGCGTAGCCTCTTGCAAGATATAACATCAATCGATGTGTTGAGTACCTTGCTGCAACAGTCTACAACAAAGGCCGCGTCATCCATCACTCGGTCCTTCGCATCAGATGCGTTACTTTCAGGAATCCCAAACCAGACCAGGTTGGCCTTCCTACGTTCTCTATCAAGTAATTCACGTGAGCTTTCACTAGCGACTTCAGATAAATCAGCTGTCTTTTCTTTACTTCAATTTCTTCCGTATTTTTCAATTGAGCCTTCACTTCAGTCAGCTCATTGCATAGCGAGCTCAGTTTGTCACTCAGCGAGCGCACCATCCCACTCAAGGAGTTTACTACATCTTTCAACAATTTCGACTCATTGCCGTGCTCTTCCATCGACTCCTCTCTTTTTCGAGCACCAATAGTTGGTTTTTCGCAATCACGGCAAAACCAATGAAGCAATTTAGATTTCTGGAGATATGAGTACTCCTTAGAGTTCAACTTCGAACAGCTGATACAAATGAGATCTTCACATTGTTCACAGGTGACCGTCTGGACTTCGCTCAGAGAGATCTCTTTGCAGTACTTGCAAACTTTCTTCTCTAGCTGGGCTGATTTGGTTTTATTTTTTTATTCTAGAGGCCGTAGAGGGCTTTTCGACTATCTTTTTTATTTTCTGTCCAGCCATTATTAAATGCACGAACTAGATCTCTTGAACGGAGAAAAGGACGGAGAGAAATACAAAACTGAGTTGAGTATAGTAAAGTTTCATAAAAAAATTTCGGCTGGAGGAAACAGCTGAGCTGCAGCTGGCAAGGGAAAGACAAGGGGTGTCTGGGGGGAACAAGGGATCGACGTGTGAAGCGGGTGGAGAGGGAGAGGTGTAGGGTGGGGAGGGTATAGGAAGACGAGGCCTGAGCGTCTCAAAGCACCGTTGTTCTCCGTGACAGGCGATCGCCGAGGGTTCACAAGAAGTTACAAACTTTCCCTCGATTCATGCGCGGCATTTATCGGGAATAAAACACTTGTACTAGCCGTTTTCTCACTATTCGCACAATTTTTACTGAACTGCACTTAAATTGAACCTTTCACTGAAATCGTTTCGGTACAAATTCGAAAGATATGTCAAACCGACATAGTAAAAAGTGAGAATGTTGGGACCCGCAAAACACGTACGTGCGTCCTCGATCACGGTCAGAACTCAACAAGGTTGGGACCATAAGGTTGGGACCTTTCAGGTAGGACCAGACAACGTTGAGCAGGTCAGGTTAAATTCAGTTTCAACCAAACTTGCCCTAGGGCCTAGATTGTTCAGCAATTTGGTACGTTATCATTTACTTATGTTATGATCATTTTATTGTTTGTTAACCTCGATTATTTTCTCTGTATTGTTTATAATTTCGAATAACCTCAAATTGTGTTCAAATTGTTCATTCTTTGTTTTCAGAAACCGTTACAATCCACAACGAGTTTTCATTCTGAACAATCCCCCGAACATTGAGCCATATTCTTTATAGTCATACTTCAATAGGCCTAGCTTCTTGTGGCCTAACCTACACGACTTGTAACATTTCTCCACACAAAAAACATATGAGCTGGCCTAACCGAACTTCATGGGCTGCAGGACGTCAGAGAGGCGGAGCAATTGAGCAGGTTAAGCTTAATTGGCTGCAAGAAGGTTTTGAGTCGGGGCAGCGTGAATAGGTTAGGCCAGAGTTGGTACGGTCGGATTCAGAACTGCAGTACCTGCTAAGGAGCGAGCATGCTCAAGTTTTGGCTGAAGACTTGCAGCGTTATCATCTATAAGCAGTGTATCACTGGTCAGGAGTACGGTGTTACAGTGTAGTCTTTGGCTTCTATCCCTAAGGCTGAGTGTGGTTATGACATGCAGAGGCAAGGTGTTGGCTCCAAAGCAATTTTAGGAGATAAATTTGTCGCCCGCAGATGAGCAGCCCCTGCGCTGTTAGTTAATTTTAATCAAACTTTAAAATGTTTTTAAGCAGCAGATTAACGCGATTAGTATGAAATTGACAACTATAGCTAGATTCTTACCGATTTCAACCAGCTATGGTTTTATGTCACCTTTTGTTTGAAAAAGTTGTCGACAATTGTTGCCTGGCCATCGGAAGGAAGCGACGCTGCTGCAAACGCGTACGGCTCAGTGGAGGCCGGCATCAGGTAGAGTTTACGGATGATGTCGATCAGGCGTGGATCATCCGACCGAGTCTCCTCAGAGTTCAGAGCTAAAAAGAATTCAATCTATGTAGCACGCTCTTGATATTCTCAGTTTCATAATCAATTTAGTTCAGAGAGATTATTATCAAACTAATAATTACGTTAGGAAACTACCTACCGGCATTTGTTTTAACTCTTCTACGAATTACAAAATTTAAATTTTTCGACCATAGTGAACAATCAATAATTAATTATCACTCATTTTCGATTCGAAACTTATTTGCTCCTGCAATGTTATATTTTAGTATCTACGAATTTTTCATCGTTGCGTGTTCATTAGATAGTACAACGAATACAAGTTGAAAAATACTAGTCATTCCAATTTGTGTCATAAATGATCCCTGTGCTCTAATGAGATCGGCTTGGTTGTCATCACTACTCCCTAGCTGGAAGCTATGGAATGTCATTAACGTTCAATTGATACAAACTTATTGACAAATCATTAAATATAATTGGCAAACATCAAAGAGATTTGCGAAGTGAAATGTTTTTATTACGAGATAAGTTTGTTCAACGTTTTTAAATGAGTACATGCGAGTTCATAGAGCTAATGCTAATCTAATAATACTGAGATATCTCATTTCTTACATTGAGTGTTGATCCCAGAGAGAGTTTGGTCATAATTTTGTCTGTGCTCTAGAACTAAATTGGAGACTCTATCAGCAGAGGAATTATACAGGAGGAAAAGGCTTACGATGGACGCTGACATAACGACGCATAATAGCGCTGGCTTCTCTACTCGCCTTCTAACAAGAAGTGTCATTTCGATAGTTCCTTGTGCTCTTTGTCGTAGGTTATTTTTTTCTTAACGCGTCAAAATTACGCGAATTCGTTTCTCATATACCTGAATTTTCTGCTGTAAAATAGAGAAAAATTATGCCTTCGTTATCATGTTTATGATACTTGGGATTCTTAACACTATTTCCTGCTGTAATTTATCGTCTAATACTGGAGTGATGTCTCTGATATTCGGGTGCAAAAATTCTGTTAGTATTTTTTTATAATACTCCAGTACTGACTTAAGTAATGAAATAGGCTGTACTTCTCAACGATTTCTGTTAGTTTGTTGCAAATATATCAAACAAAAAGTTATAATTTTTTGGAAAAATATTCTTAGTTATGCAAGGAAATTGTATTTAAATTAACTATTATATATTTTTACATGATTTTGATCCCTCAATTTCAGAACACCCAATGAGTGAGCTCGTCCTGAATGACATCAGCTATCAAGAACTGCAGTGAATTATGCAAAGCAGGAGTAGGGTTAGTATACGAGCGCTGTTCTGAAACGCCACGTTTACCGAATTAAATTTATTGCATTTTCTACACGTTTTCATGAAAATTTTAAATTAAATTTGTATGATATCGTTATATCAAATGATCATGTGTGATCACATGCTCGTATCAGAAATTGAAATTATATATAAGATGAAGGCTACCAGCTTCTAGCACGGTTAGATGACGACTGCAGTTGCGATGTTCTTAACTTTATTCAAAGAAAATGCATGGGAAAGCTGCTAAAGAGCTAAGGAACCTGTTTGTGTGATAGCGTACCAAAATAGTCAAGGAAATTCTCGCTCAAAATTGCTTGGGACTCGCAGATCGGTGCCGCACGCCTCTTCTATAATGCACATCTTGGACCAAGAAAGTTAAGAAAGGCATTTGGGAATGTTTTCCGCTTAACAAATTTAAAACTTCAATATGACATGTTCCTGAGCTGACTTTATCATTATATAACTATAAAAGTTTGAATTTTTGCTAGCTTGTTTGCAGCCTGGCACTGTGAAGGGCAGTAAAAATATATATAATGACCCATCCACAATAATTATAAAGTAAATTTGTGGGAAATACAGGACCTGAAATTTTATTCATAGTGGGACAGTAACGATGAACCGAAGAGAAGTAGTTTTCATATTCATAGTTGGAAAAACGAACCAAATATATGGTAAAACCGTGAGGTCTGAATCAAAAAATTGAACCGGCATTTAAGTTAATTTAAAATACACGGTGATTTGGGGTTGCGGAATTCGAGATGAAGGGATTTGGGACGGCGTAGTTCGATGCAGAGGTGTTCGAAATTACAAGATTCAGATTAACGGGATGCATGTAAACAGATTTCGAATTGAAAAATAACCCTGGCCTAGCTGAGGTTCGATTTCGTGGTCACGGCTCCATTAAATACAATCTCGGGGAACCATGAACATACTTTGCGTAGATATGATAAACTTCAGTCTATTAATTGTATCTTGCGAATACTGCTGGTTAATTTAGAAATTGGGGACATAAATGTTCATGAATGTATTTGCTGATTTTTTAAGGTGTTCGAAATATTTTTTAACATACTCGTATGGCATGTAGCTTTAGCTTGCCAGCATCTTGGAATTATTTTTCTAACGTAAAAGAGATGCAGAATGAATCATTAAATTAAAATTGTTTTAATAAATAAAAGAATATACGCAAAACATGAGTTATGTTGCGCTGTCAATTTCGAAAGGTGGTTGTCATAATTTCTTCGCTATCTTTTCTCTAATCTGTGCAAGACCTCATCTTTGTACAAGATCTCTTCTAGCGTTCTTCTCTGATCTGTACAAGACCGCGTCAATCGCGTTTTCCGAGACTTCTTGGACTGCTTCACAGGCGAACTCAATGAGAGGCGAAGAATAATACGTGGCCAGTGGTCGGCCTAATCCAATTAGTTATAGCCGACCGTTGGCCATTCCTCGGCCACCTGAAAGCGACCAGTTGCCGTGAAAAAGGGGCTGGCTAGGATATCTTATTACAAAGAGTACTATGTATTATTAGTATTAAGTACTACTTAATCTACGCTTGTCTGTCACATCTTCACGTGTTTGGACTCGACTGAAATCACCTGCAATAATAAAACTTCGCGATTCGATTTGCATCTATCTGCGGAATATATTTCAGATAATGGAACTAATTTGATACTCTTACCAACAGTTTGTTGGCGATCAAAAGCCGAGAACTGACATCATACAACGAGAGCAGTCAAATATTAAACAAGCTTCTGATAATTCGATAAATAGGAGATCGCAGCTCTGGCGATGGTGAGTCTGGGTTTAAAGTTTATTATCTTAAGAAATGGGTCACTCATCAATGAATGCGCGTGTACAGAAAGTAATTTGGCTTATTTGTCTTATCAGCACAACTCCTTTCTCCTTAGAAAAAATTTTCCACTTTCTGCACTTGTTATCAGACTGTCATTCAGAGCTCAAGTCGTTACGTCATATGGATAGTTTTCATGCCATCTGCGGCGACTGAATTTATCTAATTAACTAATCTACATGGGTATAAATTTCGTCGCTTTTATCATGTTTGACATTCGATGTATTCTTTACGAATATCTTTTCAAAAACATTTTTTGAAAAGATTTGATCAATCAATACAATTTGAATTCTTTACGCGGAAAATAATTTTTCACTAAATGCGAGAATCTGCTTGTCTGGCACAACATTCACACAAAAATGGTAACGTGTAAACTGTAGTCACATTTCTGAAGTGATCTAAGCGAGCGTCCGTAATGGCATTCAATGAGTGAAAGAACATAATTTGTTTGCAAGAACAAGGAAATTCTTGTTAGAAATTACTCGGAACTTAAACCTGGAAGCGAGTTTCAAGCTTCCCTAACAAAATTTAGAGACGAGGGCGGCTCTGAATTAAGTACCGCCTAGGACTCGGGGAGCATAGTCCACCAGCATCCCTATGTCCGCGTTTCGGTCTACTTTCCGGTCCCCGAATCAGACGGCCACCAGAGCCTGGTCCTTATTTTGGCGGCCGTTGAGCGGTACGTATTATGGTCGCCCCCGTATTCGGGGAAGGTCTGGCCGAGTCTGAAATATTGCCAAAAAAAATCCCCCCCCCTTCCTCCCACTGTGGAGGAAGGAGGGGGGGGAGGACAAGGCAATTCTCCTCCTCCCCACCCTCTCCTCCAGTGGGAGGAAGGGAGGGGAAGTTGAATACTTAACTACACGAGTTTATTTTCAATATCTTTTTCGACTCATTGAAGATTATGATGATACAAGAAAATTCTGAACACTATTTGATGGTGTACTGGTGCAAAATATATTCTACCAACACACATAAAAATGTTAGGTACCGATTTCTAGCCGAAAACATGCGCGTTCAGTCTAACTCGATATTTTTACTCTCTCCAACACAAGTTCGAGTAAAGCTTCGGCATTCAATTTTGAACCTAAATACAACACAGATGGATAAGAATTTTCTTTACCCGCATCAAAATAGTAAAACCTTAGAGGCTATATCACTTACTATCGCACAAGTTTTTTTCAATTCAAAAGCACGCTACGAGTAGTTCAAATTTCATATTCATTCTCATTCAATAATCTTTTATCGAGCGCATACAACGAGTAAGTTAATTCTCTTTTCATCACCAGTTCGACACTCAGCGAATCAGGTGACCAGAGAACCATTTCCTACACCCTCAGCACAAATGACAAACAAAAATTATTGTAAATTTCATGTTTGAAAATTGTATCAACTAACAGGTTATATCACAATCGCAAAATCGGTTCATCAATTAAAGATTGCGTATGAATCAGCATAAATTTGATACTGCGGATCCCGGGCACCAAACCATTACGCCAATATTCAATTCCTTTTATAATGTACAACTTACCACTAGCAAAATACAGCATAACACGATACCTCGTATATCATTAATGGAAACTGAGAGAAGGCGAACTTTTGGTTAATAAAACACTCATTCAATATTCTCTTACAGCACATCTTACGCAGAAGCTACTCATCTTTCAGCAGAAATACTTGAACACTCACGAAAATAAAATACATATATAGGTGGCCAGATAATTCTTTCCTACACCATCAGCAAAACTGGCAAATGAAAAATATGGTCCATTTCATGTTTGCAAATTGACGATATAAATATTTACAGCACCGTTCACTTGGCCAGGCAGGTTTGGCACTTGGCTTATATGCACGTTTATTCCAGGCATTTATTATAATTCGAGGAGCCTGACGGCTTTGGAAAAAACGCCGTCTATTGGAGAATTGAAAGTGGCACTGCATAGCCTCGGTGAGGGTCTTGGAGTGGCCGAAATGCCGTTAGAATCTTCGGCACTTTCTTACACTTCCAAAATCGAAGTTGAAGATTCATTCTGTTTCAGAGGCACTGGTCGTCGTCGGACGCGGTTGTTTCTGCCTCCATCCCACTGGAGTACCTTTTTTATCGCACTCATGATTGCTTGGTTTACTTCAGGTCTCGCATTGACGAATCTCGTTTTCTTGAGAGCGACTGTAAAATACGTAAGAAAATAACTGCATGGGCTGACAATAAACTGAAATGAACAAAATAGCGTTAAAACATCTCTGTAAGACATTGTCAATCCAAAAGGTATATAGCGGATCTAGTGATTGAGCCAACTATAGGAATAGTAAGGAATAAGGAGCAGATCGCGCTCGTAGGTGAGCCAGTATTTGAAAGTCCAGCGCTACAACCGCATTTCAAGCTATTGCGGTGCCAGGAGCGTGCGTAATTTGCAAATTACGATTATAACGATTACTATTCCCTGCAAATTCATAAAAAGCCTAGATTCGTGGATACAAATATGCGATCAGCTCGAATTCCGCCGATTACCAAAATTCGTTTTTAGAGACACAAACAACCATGACTCACAAGGTGCAGTAACACTCGTGTGATGTTTTCTTTGAACGTCTGAATCAATTGTTATTTTTACAATAACAAAGGGAACTCTGCGCGTCAAGAGCAACCTTGAGCATGCCATTATAAGAGCCTCGTCAAGAGCATGCCATTATAAAAGCTAACCGTTTCACTGGGCTTCACCTATATATAGATGAAAAAATTTCTATTAGAAATCGACCCTATCAAAAATGTTCTATTCAAGGCGTTTGTTTGTTCATCCACTAGGGAAAAAACTAGGAACTTTAAACAGTAGAAGTCGCTACTTTCGTAGTTAAACAGGGCACCAAGTTTCCTACTCTTCTAGATTGCAATGTTCATTGTATGTCAACATGGTTTCATTAATAGTTTTTTATAACTTACCTGATTCCTCTCTTATGCTTCGTGATTTTGGAAGCTTTCCTTGGTCTTTTGGCGTCGAGCAACGAGCGAAGAACGAGAAGACCACTGAACGAGAAGAGCAAAGTCTTTGAAGAAGCTTCAACGTTTCCCTTATAGTGGACTGAAGCGACGACAGCTCCGCCCCAGCCAGCCTATCCATCTGATAAAATGTTGAAAATGTCTTAACCCGTAAATATAAGTCACATACTATTGTGAAAAAACTTGCTACTCAATTTCCAGATTTCTGGAAGAGTGTCGTGTTTGGTCGCCATAAGTAAATTTTTAACATCTCCGGAATTCTTCTCAAACATAATATATTAGCTTACAATGTAATTGATTACGAAATCTTAGCAGCAAAATTTACGACTGTGTTACATTTAGTGTGAATCAAAGATCACTGGGTAAATACTTGATGCACTGCTACTGCTATCTGGCAGGAACAACCAGATTGTATTTCTGTACTTTGAACCGACACAGTTTTGTGTTC